AGTTCCAACATAATATTTAATTATAGGCTAGATTGCCTATAATTAAATACATCTGGTTAAAATTATGTTATTTGTGGAGTGATATTTCAAGAATACAAAGAATAAACTATTAGATAGGTGTATGGCATTGTTATTTGATTTATTCTTTATTAAAAAGGATAAACTATATATTGTGAATTTAAATAACTTATAAAGATTCTACTCAAATTAAAATTTTTGAAAATCAAAATATATCGATTTTAGCTATTTGATATCAAAATTTAAAGAAATTAAAATTATATCAGAAATAGCTTATTATTATTAAATCCTCATATCTTTTTCTTAACTTTTAATTTAGTATAAATATATAGTTGCATATTAATAAGTCATGAAAAAGGTTAGAATGATAGCATTTTTTGGAAATTATTAATTTACGAATGTATATGATTTTAATTTATAATTCAAAGCTATACCTTTTTCAACACCTTAGATATTTATTCAAAATTTTACATCACAAACAAAATATTCAATTAATATTCTCAATTAAATAGTAAAATTATGAATATAGCAATTACTGAAGAAGGAAATAATTTAATAAAAGGTACGATGAATTGTGTTGAAAGAACGAAATTACCTCTTATAGAATTTAAATTAGGTGATATTTATGAAGGAGAGAGGAAAAATGGAATGAGAGATGGATATGGTAAAAAAATATGGCCAGATGGTTCAATTTATGAAGGAGAATGGGTAGAAGATAAATCTGAAGGAAGAGTAAAAACTAAACTATTATTTTTAGGGTAAATTAATTCATTCAAATGGTGATATATATGTTGGAGAATGGAAAAATGATAAAGCAAATGGTAAAGGAACATATTTTCATATAAATGGAGCAAAATCAGAAGGAGAAGTAAATATTATAATCTATTTCTAGTGGAAAAATGATAGATTACATGGTAAAGGTGAATTATATTGGCCAGATGGAGCTAAATACGAAGGCCAATATTTTGAAGGTTAAAGACAAGGTAAAGGTATATTAAATTTTTCTGATGGTTCAAGATATGAAGGTATACACTTATAATTCTATTTTTTTTAGGGGAATTCTTCGAGGATGCTCTGCATGGAGAAGGAACTTATATTTATTCAAATAATAAAGTTTATAAAGGATAATGGAAAAAAAATAAAATGCATGGTAAAGGATAATTTATATGGCAAGATGGCCGTAATTATACTGGTGTAATAATTCTCATATATAATAGGAATATGAAGAAGATAAAAAACATGGCAAAGGTGCCTTTAAATGGTCTGATGGAAGAAAGTATATAGGAACCTGGAAATAAGGTTGCATTATTATCCTATTTCTTAGGTAAATAAAATGGAATAGGAATCTTTTATCCACTCAATAAAGAATGTAAAGTTGGTGAATGGATAGATGGAAGAAGATTTTTATGGTTTGAAAAAAATGAAGTTGATTAGTTAATTGAAGAATAGAAAATTAAAAGAGAAGATTTGCTTGAATGAATTTGATATATCACAATAATATTTAATCTTAAATCTTGTCATTTTATGTCTAAAATTTAAATTTTACGAAAATATGATTGCTCATCTCATACTCTGATTTTTTTAATAATATTATTTATAATATTATTGGTTATCAAATTCAAATCGATAATATTCTTAACTTTTATTATATTTGTTTCAAAAACGTTTATTATTCAATTTTAAAATCTTGCTTCGATTTATTGATTGAAAATCCGAAATGGGTTTATTTTCTTAAGTTTACATTTGAGGGTTTTGTTAAAGGTTTTTGAATTAAAGTTGTAAATTTTCTCATAGTTCCATTAAAGTCCTTTTTGTAACTCGTATTTTGTTCTATATTTAGCATGCAAAAAGGGATTACAACCATTTACATATTATATTGTCAATTATTAAGATAATTTACAGTATAAAACTATTTATATTTTAAAAATAAATTAACACAATTAGTTGTAACCAAGAGTATGGTATCCTTTTAGAAGCTTATTTAACTTAATTGAAAATTTAAACAATTTCTGAATATTTCTTGTTTATTGTATTATTATTTTTCTAAATTTATCTTGTTTCAATTGATTTTGATTAAATAATACTATTTTAAATTGAGAATATCATTTATTATCCAGTCATCTTTAAACTTCTACAAAAACATGTAATCACAAGGTAGTTTTGAATCATAAATTTTTTCTGTTCCTTTTAAAGCAGTTAAACTTTGAATTTCTTCATTGAAAAAAATTTTATTTACCTAAAATTCAAGCAAATGGCCAAGGATTTTTAATATTTTTCTTTTTTCTTCTAAAAGAAAAATAATTAGCAAACAAACACTTGTGCTTCATCCAATTTTGCTTAACAATCTTAAGCTAAATGTTATTATCCTAAGAAGATATGATAAATTTATATTAATATATTTGATAAAATTTAGAGCTAATCATATCATTTTTAATTTTGCAGTACTTGTTTTATTTTTGGATTAACTATTTGTTGCCATCATATTTAGATTTAATATATTAATATATGATTAGAATTAGAATATATAGAAAAATTTCATTAAATAAATTAAAGTTAAATTTTCAACTTTCTTCCTCATATTTTTCATTTATAAAGACAGTATGTCAAAATAAAGATATATTTTATTTTTATACACAGTCCTCTATGCTATTATCTTTTTAACTCAATAACTTTATTTTTTCTACATATGCTTTAAACTTTAGGATTACATATTTTTGCAACTGAAATTGAAACCACAAATTTCACTAATTTAACGCTTATAATTAATTAAAAAATTGCAATAAAATGAAAGGAAGGAT